ATTCCATGTCCCTCGCTGATGGGATGGGAGGTAGCTGGACAAGGATTGGATGCAGGACCCAGGGGGTTGCCCTCCTTGGGCCAACACATTCTGACACAGAATTTCAAGGGCCCTGGAATTCTAATTTGAACCTGGCTTTTGAGATTATTGAAAGGTAGATCCATGAAGGAGAATAGAACATATTTTATTTAACACATTAGACTGATGAATCACTTCTAACTGGAGAGACATGTTATCTGGACCTCCAATTGCACTCTTGTCCTGGATACCACAAATGCCCCTGTTTGGTTGTGTCATTTCTTAGCTCAGACAAGCCATATCATCTCTCTGGGCCTGTTTCCTTGTTAGAAAAATGGGTTTAAGGATAACTTGCCTGATCAAGGCTGGTGAGAAAATGAAATAAAAATTCATGTGGAGGACTTGGCAGAGTGCCAGGCCCTCAGTAAACAGTAGCTGTTCTCATTATCTTTTCCTTTTTGCCCTCTGGCTCTCACCTCCCATGATCTATATGACATCCAAACTGGTCTCTTTTGTAGGAGTTCCAGCCTGCTCCTCCCTCCTTACCCAAACCCGTAACGATAATCCCCTACTCTCTCCATCTCATCAAATCCTACTCCTTCAGTTATGATAATAGCAGCTAGTGATTGCAGTTGACTGTTTCAGGCATTGTATTAAGAACTTGACATGCATGATCTCAACTCAGTTCTGACACCAACTCATTGAAATGAGTACTGTTTGTTTATCAGTCCCCACACACAAAGACGCCGCCGGGAACTGGAGAGTTGAAGCACTGGCTTCTGGTAAGCGGCAGAGATCGCGGGGCTATGAACCCGGGGGTCCTACTGCAGAGACAGGTCTCCCAAAAGCCGCTCCCTCCTTCCTTCCAGTGCGCCTGCGACCCATCTGTCCTTCAAGACCCAAGTATGTCATCCCCCCTCAGGGCCGTCTGTGGACTTCTGGCACCACATGGCGGGCACTTTGTCTCACGCCACGTTGTCCACATCATGGATCCTCCCTCCCTCTCTCCTTCTCTTCCTTCTTCCCTTCCTCTCTTTCTCCCTCCCACTAAGCATCGCGTTCCTCCTCTGTGCCAGACTTTGTGTTCGTTCACAGGCAAAATGTTACCAATGGAGAAGTCAAGGGAGGATGAAATTATAGGGCATTTTTCTTTCTTCTTTACGGCTTTCTGTTTGTCTGATTTTTTTCCAGTGCGCACACAGGCCAGATTCCTCGAACCCAGTTCAAATGTTGCTTTGCTGGGTTGGTTTGGTCAGAAGAAAGCCCTGTCCCCTTAACTCCCAGCCCCCACGCCGCCTCCACCAGCCTTCAAATCCAGGCCGCCCATCCCCCTCCGGAAGGGGGGAGTTAGGAGAGAATGCCGAAATCTGAGTGGCTCTTTCAAGCCTCCGTTGCCGTAGAAACCAGCTGCACAGGCCTTGGCGGTCCATTACACCATCCTCCAGCGACGCAGCCAATGGGCTGCCAGCTCCATCCCAGCTGCCCGGCAGCCCACCAATGGGCAAGTCCCTTGTCTTTGAGTCCTGCCCTCCGTCCTGAGATACCACCAATGAGCTTCGACCCTGCTCTTCTTCTAGATTCGATGTAACAACAAGATTCGATTTTTCAAAAAAAGGAATTCTCCAAATTAGAAGGAACTAGCAGTAACGCCTCTGTCAGTTGCAGCCTGAATAATCTTTGGCTGCTATTTTATTTAAGGAGAACAAAACTGCTCCAATTACACAACAAAATATATGTCATTTTATACTAAAACAATTTTAGGCAATGAAACTTTAGGCAGTGGGGTTGATATCTGCTCCATGTGGATTTCTTTCATTATAGGTATTTTCATCTAATTTAAAATTATCGAGGAACTAGTATCTTTGCTTGTTTGTATTTCAAATCAATACAAGTTAAAGATGCTCAATTTTTGATGCTGAGTCCATGAGACATTGACCTAAGTAATTGGTAGCCTACTTTTATTAGACAATTTAATTCCCAGATTCAAAACATTTTAAAACTGTAGGATAAATGAATATTTCTTACTCAATTGAAGAAATTCCATTTTTAAGGCAGGTTGTGTTTAACACTCTAAATAAACTAAATGTGTTCTTAAAACTTTGTGCCGTCTTTTTAAAAATAAACTTTATTTTTTAAAACAGTTTTAGATTTACAGAAAAATTGCAGAGATAATACAGAGTTCCTACATTCCCTACCCACTCTGTTTTCTCTATTATCAATATTTTACAGTAATATGGTGCATTTGTTACAATTAATAAATGAATATTGATACATTATTATTAACTTAAGTTCATAGTTTATTCATATTCCCTCAGTTTTTACCTAATAACCCTTTTCCATCCCAGGATCCCATCCAGGATGCCATGTTGCATTTATTTCATGTCTCCTTAGGTTCTTCTTGGCTGGGGCAGTTTCTCAGACATCAACAGGACTTTTCACTATTAATGTTGACCTTGATCAACTGGCTGAGGTACTGTTTGTCATATTCCTCCACTGTAAAGTTACTCTTCTTTCACTCCCTTTCATGTTTCCTCTTTGGAAGGGACTGGCTGTGCTTAGCCCACACTTGAGTGGGGAGAAATGTTCTATCCCCTTGAAGGTGTGGTATCTGCGTAAGTTATTTGGAATTTTTCTGTACTGAGGATATGTTTCTTTTCCTCTATTTATTTACATCAGTGGACTCATAAATACCTATTTCATAGTTGGGTTATAATCCAGTAGTACTTAATTTTGTTGCTCAAATTGCTCCAGATTTGGCTTGTGGGAGCTCTTTTATTTAGTTGGCTCTTCTGTCCCTTTGACATACCTTTTTGTTGCTGTTCTTGAGCCTTCCTTACTTTATGATGTCCCAGACTCATCTTGTATATTCCCTGCATCAGTCCTAGAATCAGCTGTTTCTCAAAAGCCCTGATTCCTCCTACTGGAGAATGGTATTAAAAACCAAGATCTTGGTGCTAACTGTGCTCATTGCTACTGGGGTGTTGTTTCTTTTAAGCCTTCTCAACTAACAGAATAGAGAAATGTAGATGTGTATACTAACCTATGCATATAGGCATGTCTATGAATATTTCTATGTGTAACCATCTGTATCTATATTAATCTAAACATAAGCTCCTATTTATATTTTCAACTCTAATCCATTACCACATGACTCATTCTAGCCTCCTCCCCTTGCTTATCTGTAAATTCCCACTCCAGCAGTGAGAAACCTGGCTCCCACCATCCACCATCCACCCACTTAATTGTTGAATTCCAGTATATATAAATCAGAATCAACATTGTTCACCCAAACCCCTGTGGGAAACTATCAACTGGAGCAGTAGTTCTGTATACTTTCTTTTGTTTTTAGTTTTACAGACTCCACTCATTTCTAAAGTTACTTAAGTCAACACCCTTTCCCCCACCCCCTTCAGTGAGGTTGTTTCATATATTTGTAACATAATTTGATTGGTTTGTCACATTCCACATTTCATTTTTGGATTCTCCCAGTGTTCTAAATGATTTTTTAAAATTTTTGTGCATTAAGGTTCACTTTTTCTGTTGTACAGTTTTATGGGTTTTGACAAATGCATAAATAAGGTCCTGTATCCACTATCATAGTATCATACAGAAGAGTTTCACCACCCTAAAAAGTCCCCTTTGCTTCACCTATTCAATGCACTCCCCCTAAACCCTGGCAATCATAGATCCTTTTGCTGTCTCTATAGTTTTTGTGCCTTTTTCTTTTTTTTAAAAAAGAGAAGACACATAATAGAGTATTTTTGTTGATGCTTTTGTTATAGCTACCATTCATTGAAACTTTACTATGTCCCATGTCCTGAACTAATTACTCTCCCATGTTGCAGATGAGGAAACTGAGGCAAATAAGTCAAAGTACCTCCCTAAAGACTAACATTGAACAAAGTTTGACTTCAAATCCCAGACACTTTGATTGCTTATTGCTTAAAGCCCCAGTATTTCTATGCTTGACTTCTCAGTCATCTATGGGAGTCCACTATATTTAGCCAATAGGATGAGGATGACTTCCTTCCCAGTTTACCCAGGCAGTCTCAGTTTATTTCTGTTCTTCCAGCATAATTATTAATAGTGTCCCCTTTCATGATAAATTATATGATCATCCCCAAAGGAAAAAGTCTAGTGAATTTCAGTCAGGTTGTGGGGGTAAGGATTATACTCCAGGAGGAAATGTGGCAATGTGCCAGTGGGGTGTGATCTGAGTCACCAGATGGAACCTACTATCCAGATAAAATCCCCTCTTCCATCTAGTCACCTTCCCCTTCCCTCTCCCAATCTGATTATTCCCCAATTCCATCAGTTCTACTGGTGCTGCTAAAATGACTGACGCTGTCCAGTCTTCTCCCCATGAACATGTCCCAGTTGGTCTCTCCTCTCTGCCTTGTGTTTCTCTGAGTCTCAAACTGCATCTCGTGGATTGGCAACCCGGAATTCCATCAAGATCTTTAAGACTTTGGGATTTCACAGAGAAGTTAAAAAAAAAAATCCTCCCTCCTCTAAAAAAACCATGCATCTAAAAAGTTGCAGGTGGGAAAAAGATTGCTAGCTTTTAATTTTGCCAAGTAAAGATGAGAAAGCCCTCCATCTTCTATATTAGTACCATCCATTAGAAATATAATGCAAGCCATGTGTGCTATTTTAAATTTTCCAGAAGCCAAAAGGTACAAAATAAATAAAAGAAACAAAGGAAATTGATTTTAACTTGCTTTATTTAAACCAATATGCCCAAAATGTTACAATTTCAACATATAATTGATAGAAAAATATTACTGCAATATTTTACATTTTTTATGCTAAGTATTTGAAAACCAGTGAGAATTTTGCACTACAGCACATTTCAATTTGCACTAGCCATACTTAAGTGCTCCAGAGCCACATGTGCAGTTCTATATTGTTATTCAGTAAGAGCCCTATAATGTATATATACATACGCACTCACACATGATCATAATCTGTATTTTTTAAAGAAGACACTTAGATGAATCAAAAACCAAATTACCTTGTTCATATTGTTTTCTCTATTATGAACATCTTTGAGGACCATGCCAGTTCAGAGTCTGATGTTTTGGAGCTAGGTACAGCTGGGGTGGGTAGAGTTGCATGATGGTGTCTGGGACAGCCACGCCCAAACCTGAGTTGGCTCCTTCCTCATTGAACAGATACTGAGATGTGTTGCACCAAGATCTGCTAGGTGCTGGGGAGAGTGGAGATCAGGTGGGTCCTCTGATCTCATGGAATTGCTGCTCTGCCCTCGTGCTCCAAGTGAAGCTCTGCAGGCAATGAGAGGGTGTACTGTCTGCAGAGAATTTGAAAACAATAAAACTCGTTGAAAGTCAGTCTGCATTTTATTATTACCATGTGCCCTCAATTCTAAACTATGTCAGGGATAAAACCATCTCCCTGAAAATCAAGTTGTTGGTCTCCCTTGAGTCTTAATGATCTGTAAACTTCAAATCAGCATCTTTGAATTACTTGCACACTAAAAAACATCATAACCTACAAGGAAGGTAATTCAGTTACTCCCAATTACACATTCAGCCCCTAACGCACACCAAGTCTGACACAGCTATACGCGTTAGTTTTGAGAATAAGTTTATAACAGTCCGGAATTGTTCAAGCTCGCTTCCGGAGTACTTGTGTCTCTGGCCCCTTTGGTACAACATATGGCTGTGTTTAAACAATAGATTCAAAATAAACAATGACAGCACAGTGATTAAGAAGCTGAAGCACAAGAACTTGATTTGCTTCAATTCTGTCATTCTATGTGACCACTTGAAGCTTTTTTTTTTGAAGCTTTTGTATTTAAAATTTAAAACAGTGAAACAAAGAGTGAACTGCACAGAGTGTGGCTACTGCAAATTTTCTTATTTAGTAAAACAGTATATCATATTAGTATTATTGCCCAATTATATTTTACCGAATTTGAATCACATTTATTATTAAAATTGATTCTTATTTCTAACGTGTTTTGTTGTTTTTAAACTGTAATGGAATTAATGCAATGTAACATAATTATTATTGCATCGGACCACTTTGTAGGTATTTTTTTTCTTTTTGTTTTCAGAGAAATATATTAATTGAGAAGTATTGATCCAGTACTCTTTTCCTTTTTTTGGACTGTAATATTTCTTTTTACTGACATGATTACATATACAAAGTTCAATAAAAGAATATGATCACCATCTGCATTTCCTTTCCGGCTGTGATCATTAGTATTTATCCATTGTATTTCATGATTGTTATAGAAAATAATGTTACTTAAAGGAGGTGGGTGTTAAAAACTTTTCTGTCCCAAGTGTCAAATAAGCTAGGGAGGCCACTGGTGCTCTGAAGAAAGGGAACACGTAGTTAGTTGAGCTATAAGGAAGCAACGGAGGCGGGAGAGCTGGAAAGGGTGAGGGAACACCCCGCGTGGGGAGGCAGCTTGGCTTGTTCCACAAACTGAAACAAGACCTACGTGACTAGAAACTGGCTCGAGCCTGCGAAATCAGGAGAGGAGGTCAGATAGGTGAGCAGGACTCACGGGTCAGGAGAAAGTCTGGTGTTTCTCTTGACAGTACTGGGGAAAACACTCAAGGGTTTTTAAAAGGGGAAGAGACATAATCAGACTTGTGCCTGAGAAAAACACCGTAACTCTGGCTTCAGGGAGGAGAATGGAATGGAAGGAGACCTGGTGGGTACAGGGACCAGAAAGGAGGCTGGGCAGGTACCCAGATAAGAGAAGATGGTGGCCTGGACAGTTGGGGCATCAGTGGTCAGCTTCGCTCCAAGAACCTCACCATCTTAATTACTGAAGTTTGAACTGAATAGCTTGGTGATAAGCCCAGCCTTGAACTCCTGCGTCCTGCAAGGTAGACTCTGAGGCACCCATTTAAAAGGACTCAGGGCAGTCTGTGTGTGGTGATAACCATATCTCAGTGGCAGACTGGAGTTTTGGGGTTTTCCAAACTTTTACTCCCTTCACTGGGCTCCCACAGGAATTTGAATGTACTCATGATAGAGCACTGACTTCGATTCATTTAACAAGTATTAATTGAGCACCTACTGTGTGCCAGGCACTCTCCAAGGGATGAAGCAGTAAACAAAACAGACAAAAATCTCTGCCCTCTTGGAGCTGACATTCCAGTGGAGAGGACACGGGCAAAAAACAAGTGAACAAATAAAATAATTCCAGAATGTGGTAAGTGCTATGAAGAAAATAGAAAGAGTGATGAGTTAGAACAATGCAAGGAAAAATTAAGTTGTCTAACAGTACCAAACTTTGGACAGGATGTGGATGAGACAATCTCTTCTATTTTGCTGATGGAAAAGTAAACTCAGAAGTTTGACATCACCTTGTCAAAGATAGCATTTACACATCCTCATATGCAGCCACCACACGTTCCATAAGACACCTGAGAGAGCTTCCTGCACTTGAGCACCAGGAATACATTTAGGATTGTTAACAGGAACACTGTTCATAAGAGCAAAAACCTGGCAATAACCACAGTGTCCATGACACCAGGTAGAAAAACTGTGGTATATTCTTGCAGTGGAAAGTCGACAAACTCCATATAGGTGCAATAATTAAGATAAATCTTAGCACTGTAATATTGAGTAAGAAAGTCAATACCAGAGTATCACATACAGATTGCTAGCCTTTTGATAAAGCTAAAAGCAAGAGAATATATTTTAAGAAAACATATTTTTAAAAATAAGAGAAAGGAGAAATTGGAACCCTCATACACTGCTGATGGGAAAGTCAAATGGTGCAGCAACTCTATTGAGACAGAAAGTAGATTTATGGTTGTCTAGATCTAGGGGTTAGAGCAAAGGCAGTAGAGCTGGAGGTGGAGGTAGAGGAGCTGAAGGAGTTAATGAGCACAGAGTTTCTTTAGGGGATGATGAAAATATCCTAAAATCGATCATACTGTTGGATGTGCAACTCCATTAATTTGCCATTGAATTGTATACTTTAAATGAGTGGATAGTATGGTATGTGAATTATATTTCAATAAAGCTGCTAAGCTAAAAAAAAAGTTTAACATTTTTAAAAAATGTAAGGGAAAACTCAGGATAGACATTACATCAGATGAAGGAAAGCAGGGAATGGGATGGGGACAGGGGAAGGTAGGTTATTATCAATGTTGCTGATTTCACTGGTTTTTATTATATGTAAATAAATACATATAAACATAAAGTGAGCCAATCATGGACAATGATAAAAAAAAAGTCACAGAGCAGCAATTCTGTGTACCTGAGATGCATGGGAATGGGTGGGGAACAGCAGAGTGGTCGTCAGGGCAGGCCTCTCTGGAGAGTGAGCTGGAGCTAGAATGAGATGGACTAGCCATGCGGGGATGGGGGTTGAAGAGTTTTCCAGGCTGAGGAGACAGCATGTACAAAGGCCCTGAGGTGGGCCCAAGCCTTCCATGTTTGAGGAATATCCAGGAGGCCAGGACTTGAAATTTTAACAGCAGCAAAAACAACAGCAGCAACAGCAGCAACAGCAACAACAACAACAACAACAACAACAACGCAGCAGCTGCAGGGCCAGAGCAAGACCTTTCAGAGGCCCTAAGCACCGAAAAGATGGCAGTGCCCACCCTATGCCATTTAAAATAAATATTAGGCGGGGAGGGTAAACAAATAAATAAATATTAAGTGAGAGAAGTGTAAGAATGTTAGAAAATTCAAAAAAAGCTTTTATTTTCCCCCAGGATCACTACTTTGATACCTTTTCTGAAACGTTAAATCCATCCCTGCCCCTGCCTATTTTTCTCCTTATTAAGGAGGCACCAGGATATGAACACAGAAATTCTGATTCTATAGAGATGGAATCGTCGAGGATAACGTTGTGAGGGTTCAAACCCGTGGATCTCCAGATCTCAGAGTCCAGTAAGTCGCCGGAGGAACCATTTAGTCAGGGGAGCAGGGCCCTCTCCTTACGAGCGCCCTGTGCCTTTAAGAATCTTCCCCTCCAGCAGGCTAAGCTCCAATTTCCCTCCCGGACACTCAAAGCATCAGCCCGCCCTCCGCGTCTGCGGAGCTGCACCTCGGCCCTTCCTCCCCCATCCCACACCCTCGGGCTAGGCTCTCATCTTCTGCTCGCCCAGAGGTGGGTAAGGTCGACGGCTTGAGACGAGTACCTCCCGACCCGGTCACTGCCCACTATGCCCCAGCGGAATGCTACCTTAGAGACCCTCATCCCGACCTCTCCCAGCTCCTGATTCCTCGGTGGGATGCTCCAGCGCCCCCTCCCATCGCCCAGGCTCAAGACGCGGTGAAGGTGACCTCCCCAAGGGGCAGCACCCGCCCCGCAGTGCCTGAGCGGGCTCACACGTGGTAAGCTGGGAGCGCGCAGCCCCTCCCCGCCACGCGCCTCGAGCGTGCGTCCCAGACACGCCCCTGGGTCTGGCTCCGCCCCCGTGCCCGCGCTTGCTTCTCTAGACTCGGGAGGGGCGTCGCGCCCTAGTCTGGCACCAGGCTGGCCGCGGTGTAGGGTGGGACCTGGGAAAGGGGCATCCATTCATCCTCGAGCCTCTCACGAGTACTGTTGAAGGCGGGAAGTCCGCCCTGCTCCAGACCCTTGGCCCGGTCCCTTGGTGCGCTGAGAGAAGAAAGAGTTGGGACCACTAGCCTAGGATTTGAGCCCTAGTCTACAAATCTTTGGTTTTACCTGGAAGTGGGCGTCATATTCCCTTCTTTCTCAGGACTTTCGTGGAGCCTCAAACGAGAAAAAAAATATTTAAGAGATTCGGTTCGTTGGGCCCAAAAGCATTTCTTGAGACCCTACGTGGCTAGACCCTGTGTGTACTAGGCAGGGGCTTCATCGATGACACGATAAATCTGTCTCCTTGAGGAGCTTTCCTGAGCCTGCGCCCCCCCACTTTCTGTTCTGGGGCGGTCCAAAAAGACGCCCCCGAAAGAGAAGAAAGCGGAGGTCCTACCTGGCGGCAGGTGTCACTGAGTAAGCTAAAATTTCAAAAGCTGCGCGGGGCGGGGACAAGCTTTCGGAGCCAGATAGGGAAGCACGCTCGGCGTCTCCCCACCCTCCCGCTCTTCCTAAACCTAAGAAAAGAAACCGACCTCATCCGACACCCCCAATCCCAGCCGCGAGACCGCCCAGCCCCGCAGCCCGAGCCCCGCCCCGCTTCGGCAGGCAGCGATTGGGAGATGCAAATACCAGATTCTCTGCCCAGCAACGGGTGACGCGCGGCCCGAGCGCGAGGCGTGGCCCGGCCGCAGCCCTAGCGGGCACCTCGGTG